TAATAGTGGTGGTAGTGATGATGATGGTGATGGTGGTGGTGGTATTGATATTGGCTAGAGAGCAGCAGCATTTTAGAACCAGAAGACTCAATCTCTAATTTAATGTTGAACTCTCTGTGTGACCCTGTGAGTGTCCTGGGGTGAGCTGGGTCCCCTCTTTCAACCTCTGTGAAATGAGAGATCATAGTCCCTGGTTCCTAGACAAGAGGAGTTAAGGAGCCCGGGGGTGGGGGAGGGGTTCCCTGGGTGCCGGTGCGAGCCTGTCCCACCCCCCAGCTCCCTCACCACCCCCACGCCCCGCACTCTGTCCTACCTTCCAGTGTCCCCCCAGCTTGGTGCACTGCAGCGCCATGCCGGCCCCTTCCTAAACGTCGTCACTCGGTGTCCTGGCTGGTGTCGGCCGAGCCAGGATCCAGATGGGCTCCAGATGTGACTGGGCTAGGAGCGAAGTGTGCGCTGGCCTGTCCTTCTCCTCCCACACCCTTTTCCTCTTTCCTCTCACCCGGCTCCCCTGTCTGAGTCCTGGTCCCCCTGTACTCCATCTGTTCCGTCTTTTCCTCTTTCTGGAATGTTCTTTGGCTGCCAGAGTGTGAATGCATCCCCTGACAAGCACATCTAGATGATCCCTAATCCAAATGATGCCAATTTAGTCTATGGGACTGTAAGTAATGAGAAGTTTTGATGGAAAAAATGGCTATGCAGAAGGTCAGTAGTTCAAACCTACCCACAGGTTCCAAGGGGGAAAGGCCTGGTGATCTGTGCCTGCAATAATTACAATCGAGGAAGCCCTGGGGGATGTGCTGCTCCATCACTTGTACCTGTCACTAATCAAAGCAGGTTCCTAGTGACAGAGTTCTGGTGGCCTAGTGGTAAGGAGCTACCCTGGCAACTCAAAGGTGTGCGGTTCTAATCCACCAGCTGCTCTGCAGGAGAAAGATGGGCAGTCTCTTCCCATGTGATTAACTGCCTCTGAAAACCCGCTGGAATCTCAGCTGTGGGTCCCTTCGGATGGACATGACAGTTCACAACAACAACAACAACACAATGACGAGACAGGCGGGGGTCTTGATGCCTGAACCCATCCCTCGTTAGGGTAAGAGTGGTATTCAGGGTGTCCCCCCAGGGTGTCCCCAGAATTGGGGCCCTAGGCTCCCTGCCCCCCAGGTCAGTTTCTGATCCCCCTCCCCTTGTATGGAACTTACCGAGCTGGGCCCAGAGAACGCACCAGACCTGGGCCCGTGCAAACAGGCTCTTATACTGTGGGTGGGAAGAGGGGCCGCTAAGGGCACGAAAGCCCGACTCAGCAAGTGTGTGACAGACACAAAAGCAGGCGCTGGACAGGGGCCAGGAGGTGGACCCCGGCGGAGAGGACTGGGGCCAGCTCCCCGCTCCAGGACCAGCCACGAAGAGGCCAAGCCACAAAGGCCTGCTCTTCCCAGCTCCAGGGAACTCCATTCTGCCCCTCTGGAGTAAACACTGGATTTTGGTGGGGTTGTTAGACAGAGACAGAGCCGAGAAACTGCTTGCTGACTCTCCGAGGGGTTTTCAGAGGCAGTCAGTCACATGGGAGGGGACGGCCCTGTCTTCTCTCACAAAGCAGCTGGTGGATTTGAACCCCGTGCCTTTGGGATTGCAGTGTAGCTTCTTACCACTAGGCCAAGAATTCTAGGAGCCCTCGTGCCATTGTGGTAAGAAGCTGCACTGCAATTCCAAAGGCGCGTGATTCAAATCCACCAACTGCTCCATGGAAGGGTGGGCAAACTCCTCCCATGCGATTTACTGCCTCTGAAAACCTCCCGACAGGGTCAACTATGAGTGGGCCAGACTCCACAGCCTGTAAGAACAACAACAGACCAGAAATCCAGAAATTTCTTTTATATCTGACCTAGCCATGTGACCATGCACAAGTCCTTTGCCTCCACTCCTGTCTGTATCAGTGACTAGAATAAGCCTGGCAGTCTGTGAGGTTGTGTGCACGCCTGGCATGGCGCAAATTCCAGATCTATTCCTTCTCCCCTTCTTCTTCCGTCTGGGCAATCAGGGTAGGCTTCATGCTGGAGGTGGCACTGAAGCTGCCTTCTAAAGGTTGGGGAGGACAGGTGCAAAATGACACAGGAACCAGGGCATTTCAAGCACAGGGAACAAGCAAACATGCAGGTGGTAGGTGTGGTCTGTGTACACACACGGACAAGCCTCCGGGCTGGCGAGGACGGAGCTCCAGGCTCGTGAAGCGGGGGAGGTGGAGAGAGGCCATGACCTGCAGAGGTCACAAGGCTGCATGGGTGAGTCGGAGGGTGTGAGCATGGTTTGCCAACTGTATGATCCAGGCTGACTCTCTGGAGTCTGTGCACTGTTCCCTGGCGCCATCGACCTCTCTGAGCTTCAAGAGGACCCTGGCAGGGAGCAGGGAGCAGCAAGTGAAGTCCAAGCCCATTCTTGCCTTTTGGGTCACCGGCAGCAGGCCGGCCATGCACCAGATGGAAAAAGGGGAGCACCATTTCAGCCTGAGGAGGATGAAAGGCCTGGATCGTGCAACGATTAGGCTCTCGGTTGCCAACCAAAGGTTGGTGGTTTGAACCCTCGTTGGAGCTCCGGAGAAGAAAGATTTAGTAATCTGCTCCTGTAAAAATTACTCACTGCCTCCTATCTTAGTCACAAAAGTACAAATACTGCATAGGGCCACTGTTGTAAAATAGAACTGACATTGGGGTTGAGGGAAGACAGAGAAGGAGAGGAGGAATGATGTATATTGCACTGAAACAGATGAGGGAGAGAATTGTTAAAAAGGGACATATGATTAGGTATTATTGTTGGGACATGAGTCCAGAACGAAGGCTGCATAGTGGAGTAGACCTGGGGGGAGGGATTGTATAACAATGAAAGAATTTTTCTTTTACATGTAGGGTGGAGGGAAGTTGAGCAGGGAGAAAAGTGCAACAATGAATGATTGGAAATCCAAAGTCTCTGTAAATGTTCATTAAAATTAATTTTTTAAAAAGTAAATTTAAAAAAATTACTCACTTCTATCAACTCTTCAAGGCTTTGATGACTCCATCAGTGATTTATGGTGACCTCCACCAGGTTTCTGAAGTTATACATCTGTACAGGAGTAGATGATTTCATCATTTTTCTTTGGAGCCGGTAGTGGCTTTGAACTGATGATCTTTCTGTCAGCAGCCTAACACTTAACCTGTGATGCTGTCAGGGCTCCTGCCCTGTACACATTACAGCTAAGAAACCTTTCAGCTCAGCTCGACTTTGTCACGACACAGCCATTTCTGCAGCCGTCAGAGTGAGTCTGAAGCCCATTCATTACTGGTTCTGCATGTTACTGAACCTCTCTGAGCCTCAGTCTCTTCATACACAGAATCGATATAACAAGACAGATGAGGCTTAACCTAAAAATCATGAACACTGCATTGAAACAGATGAGGGAAAGAACTGTGTAAAGAGGGCAATCTCCTCCTGTGCAACTTACTGCCTTTGAAGACCCACTGGAGTGGTCAGCTATGGGTCAGTTCCAACTCCACGGTACACAGCAACAACAGTGATGACTGTTAGATGATTATTAATTAAAAGAGTTTCCTGAGGCAGGTACAACTGGCTTGCACCGGCTTGCTAACCTAAAAAGCAAGAACATTCCCCACCATTGAATCAGTCCTGACTTATAGTGACTTGACAGCCACCAGACGTGGACGGCTGTATATCGGAACAGAAGGAGATTGCCCGTCTTTCTCCCAAGTTGCTGCTGGTGGAGTCGAATCACCAGAAATGTGCAGCCTTTTGGGTTAGCAGTGCAACACTCCGTGGACTACACCACTCGAACTGCTCGGAGTGCTGACCGAGGCAGTGCCAGCCCGCCCAGAAGTGCAGCGAAAGAAAAGGCCTGGCAACCTCCTCCTGCCACGACTGTAGTCAGCAAAGGCCTTCTGAGCAGCTCTTCACTCTAACACAGGGACAAAACCAATCGCCTCTGCCTCAGCTCACCACAAAGGGCAGGAGTGCAGAGGGTCTGCGAGGGTCGTGAAGATGTGTGTCTCCAGTTCCACTTTATCAATGAGAAAACTGAACTTGAGAATCGTGAGGGGGCCTTGCCTCTGTTTTCTCATCCACAGATGGGGCTAATTGGAGGGCCCCTCTGAGGTCAGTAGGAGCATAAGAGAAGCTGAGAGCCGTGAAATGCTCAGAGGGGCGCTAATAGAGGGCCCCAGCCCCAGCCCCACCTGGGCCTTTGGCAGGGGCCTGGAAGTGATTCAAGATGACACAGCCTGCACTTCACCGAAGACGACATTCAGATGGC